AAAGTATTTTAGTGGGAAAACTGAGATAAAGTGGGTCAATGACTGCTTTCCAGAGCCCCATATTACATCAGATATAGTTGCCTTTGGCCTTATTTTATGTGTTATATATTTTTTCATGACTTAATCGTGAATTATCTTTAGAACATTTTCCATATTTTTCAGCTTCCTTCATTAGATTTAAGAGCACTAGAATTAAACCTCCCTAATGTCTATAGTACTTGGACAAATAAGATAAAGTCAAGGTAATAGCATTGCCACTATGAAAAGAGTTATGCCCCAAGAATGGATCAGTATCTGATAGTCCTATACATAGCAAAGAACCATTAGAAATCCTTTCTACTCATATCTGCACAAATTTAGAAGACGATATCTCACCACAGGCCACACTTAATGTGAATGACTCTGTATACAAGATTTTAAGCATAAAAGGAAACAGGAAAAAATTATAAGTCTATGTAGCTTCTACTTTTGTAAGGTATACTGCTTTGTTTTGTGGTTAAACTCAGTGAGTTAGTGTAATATGCTCTGTAATAAAAGGGAAAATAATCAGAAGAAAAGGTTAGCCATATAATGCATCTAAAAAGTGGGTGAAAATGAAGCAAACGTTTAACTTTCATGGTTATTATTTGTGGGATTATAATTATATTCTCTAGAATAATCATTATAAATCTTATATTGCATATAGTTACTCTAACCCTTTTGTGGCATAAAACATAATGATCCTTTTCACATCTGCATGAATAAACCTCCCCACCCTGTATCTTTACAAATCAATGTGACATAGCACCCAAACTAGACACTCCATTAAACTGATGAGTAAATAAATTTAAAAGACCAGCAGTTCTTCCTAATTTATATGCTATTTAAAGGTGTTATAAAACAAAACTTGCTTGTAACATTTCCAGGAACTCCACTCATCTAAATTAAATAAAATTCATGTATTTGATAGGTAGAATATGCTGTTTATATCTATGTATTAGTAATTGCTCCCTTTAGAAAGGACTAAGCCACCAGTGAATATAGCAAACACAGAAAATGCATGATTATTCCATATTGTCTGGAAAACTATGGATGCATCTTGCTTCTGTGCACGTTCGTGGAATGCAGTCTTTATATTTTTGAACAGGAAATTCACACACAGCCAAAAAGGTGGAGATAGTTACTTCTTTCATCTTTAAATATAGTCTGTGTTCTGTGTTTTTGTTTATTTGGATTTGGTTTCTGCTCCTCTGTCTTTTAGGCTTATTTGTTTGTTTTTAATACTAACGGGATGTCCTAAATAGGTTTCATCACCCATGAAAATACTTAAGCTCCTCTTTCTCTATTTTTCAGAACAATATCTTACTTCATTTTCCTAAACCCATTTGGCTTTTGTGGGTTTTCTCATGTGTTCTTGAGAAGGAACATAGATCTGTAATATTATGAGGGAAAGAGCACTATGGCTTCTTCTTTCAAATCTTGCTTACAGAGAAGTTTCTTTTCAGTGCTCACCAGGGCCAGGTCACAAGCTCTCTGTAGCATGTCAGAAGCCAATTAGAGTGTATGTTCAGGCCAGAATACCCTCTTCTTTCAGATGTCGCTGCTTTCTGTGAATTTGCTGTGCTTTTAATGCAATGTCGAAATCTGCTCCTGCTTGACTCCTACAGCTGGTTTTGATCAGGTTCCTCCAAAGAGGAAGTTTCAATTAGCACAGCTCCAAATGTGCTCTGGAGGTATATTTTTATTAGTACTCAACTAATAGCACTCTTTGTTTCTAGTAGTTTGTGACTCCTTAACAAACACAACCATTTGTGTGAGTCACCAAGTGACTTTTTAGCAAGACTAGGCTTTGCCAAAACCAGAAGAATGAGACAGCCAAATTGAATTAGTGGTCGAAGCACATTAATTTATGCTAGATAAATGTTATTGTGGTCCCGTGGGCAAGTATTCAGGTCATGGGCTTTATGAACTATTTGCAGCAAGAGGGCTTCATGGCAGTAAATCAGCTCTTGAGCAGGAATTTACAAAGGACTTACAGCCACTTACGTTCTTCTGTTTCCTTAAATTGCTTCTGCAGCTCCCCCCTCCTATCACTGCCTTTCATTGAGACAGCTCACCATTTTGTACATGTTTTGTGATATTTAACATATAAGCAGTTGGATTAATGGTTTGTGTTGGCTTTGCCTGACTCTAGTTGAGACGTGGCCATCTATTATGCCTGTGGCCCTCACCACAGGCAGCTGTGTGTTTATCATTCCAGACTACAGATCACAGTGGGTACAGAACTCTGGCTTAGCACCAGCTTTCAGAGTCTGTGCAGCTGTGCAGTAAATAGAAACCTTGATGTCTCAAACACAGCACACACAACCAAGTCCTGACAGGGCTGTTTCTCTTCTGGGGAGGAATTAGATCCACTTAAGGCTGGATTATTTCTAGAGTAAGAAAAGTAGAAATAAGTGTTTTCTGGCTACAAATTGTGGCAAGTGAGAGATGATGCCAAGAAAGAATTATGCATAAATGATAGTGTTTAAACTTGTTTTTATGTGTTTAGATGTATCTCTGCCAAAAAACTGACAAGGCTTCTTTGTTGGCTTTTTTTTTTCCCAGAAAGAGACCACTCCATGAATATTTTTGTAATAAAGAAATAATTGTAAATCACTGGTGTCTAGGCAGGTGATAACCAGTTTACCTTAAACATGATCTCTTGCAAAATCCAGGGAAAAATCTGGCTGGGCAAAGAGTGATGAATCACCACCTCTCCAACTCCACAACCACCAAAAATGCCTGAGCATCAATCAAAATCCTTGCCAATTTATTGCTGTGGATAAAAGTATGGGCTTCAGAGTTGGTTCTAGGTTGAAACACTGTTCCTACATCACACTAACTTTGTGATCTTGAGTAAATTCCGACTCTTTGGGTCCTCACATGTAAAATAGAAATATAATAATTAATAGTTTTGTTGCGTATCAAGATTAATGAAGTTCATGAATACAAACCATTAACAAAATAAATGGGGGAACAAGGTTAATTGTCAAGAAATAATAGTTTCTATTAATTGTTGGTGTTACTGTTATTGCTGTTGATTTAAAAGAAGAAAATGTCTGCTTTTATTACATTTTCTGATTCAACCTATTCTCACCTGAAGAATATTCAAGTTACCATTTTCTCCTCATTCCATTGGACTTGATCTACATAATCCTTTGGTCTCCTCTACTATGATGTCGGATTTGCATAATTTAAGGCAGCCACTCTAATAGTCATCTTGAATATTTAGTATTGAGCAGACAGGCTGATGCATCACAAGTACTCGTCACATTTCTGGTGAACTCAATTTAATAGTGACAAAGCCTGCATATAAATGCTTATATGTGTAGACTTATTTACAGTTTAAAATTTCCCCCAAATTTGACACAGCTTCCAAGATTAGAAAAAGATCTCTTTTTCACATTGAAAAATTGCTCCTGCTCCCTTTTGTACTAGAAAGGCAAAAAGGAAGAGATGTGATCTTGTTCTAGGGCCTCTAAGCTCTCTGAATTAATTCAACTCAGTATAAGCTAACTGAAGCTCATTCAGCTATTATAATTTAACCTATTAAATGCTTTGCAGTCATTACCTAGCTCCTTGATTTATTAAAAAACAACGTAACTTCAGTCAAAACTTTCTAACTGATCAGTATGTGTAAATACATTAAGAATTTTTATTTTTCCTGCTTTCTGTTTTAAATTGGAGCTCTTCAATATCAGGTTCTGTGTTCACTTAATTCAACAAAATACCTGTAACACCTTTGAAAATATGTACCTACTGAATATTTCATAGAGTGATATACATGACTTAATTTCTTATGGCAAACTTAACTTCCTAAATCAGCAAACAGAATTTTTCATTCTGTGGACTTTTTACTGAATTCCAAGGAAAGCTAAGTTTAATGTAACAAGGAAATAGTGGATTTCAGTAACTGGACCTTTCAAAAATCTATTATCCTCAATAGTAAAAGTTCCACAGGAACAAGAATGCTGTCTGTCTTCTTACTCTGTAGCTCAGTCCTATTGCCTAAACGTGTCTTCTGGCACAGAAGCCCTGAGTATTTGTTGGAATCCTTATTTAGTTAATGAAAGTGGTTGAACAGTAAATTAACTCATTTCTCTGTTTCTAACTTTTTTCAAGTCATGTTTTCCTCATTCAGATAAAAATTATTTTCTTTTGCTTCTTGACCATATATTTGTATTATTAAAACCATAAGGATTATTTCTGGGGAGAAAAAAATAGAACTGATAGTATTAAATAAACTATAAAATAAACGTGAAATTTACTTCATTTGTCTTATCTCAAGGATTGTAATTTTTAAGCTACAACTAATAAATGTCATTTCTGTGGCAATTGATGAGTAGCTCAAAGTGATAAGACAAGACTTTGGTATATTCCCAGGCTTTAGTTCAGTCTCATGAAGGGCATCTGTCTGGGACCAGGAGTCACGGGGGTTCATAAGCTTCCAATGGAGATGGCTAATCAATAAAAGTTCTGTGCTCAGGATTTTGTACATTTTGTTAATTGGCCGAAGCAATCGGCCTTTGTGGCAATTATTCAGACAGTGATGTAAAAAGATAGCCTGACAAACAAACCTCCATAATCCACTTATGCCTCACAGAAGCCAAAGGGTTGAAAAAGCCTATTAACAAGCTCCCTGTCTGTTTGGAGACGTTGTTAAATCAAGAGTCTCAGCACCTGAGGCGATCTGTTAATAAAGATCGTTTGTAGCAGATTTCTGTTCTGTTAAGAATGGACATAAAACAGCATAATTTAAAACATGTCAATAACTCAAGGCAAAAATGCCAAACATAGTCTGTTCTGTCTTTATAAAATGGAACCAAGTATACACATGAAAAGTGCCAGAAAGGCTTATGCTGACTGGGTTTAGAGATTGTTCGTGATGAATAATGTGATCCTTCAAGTTAAAACAACCTTGTGGATGGGTATCTCTGTTTCTTTTCTGTACTAAACTCAAGGGATTTTTTCTATTTAAGGGCCAATGAAATTTCTAACCTGCAGTTCTAGAAGATGCCTTAGAAACCTGTGCCATTTGTCAACCTCATGAATTCATAATAACTTGTGAGTGTTTCATTTTTTTTCTCATTCTTCTATCTTCCTCCTGTGTGACATTTATGGGTTGTTTGGGGACAGATTTTTATAGACACTGAGCTAGTTTGGATGTCTTAGAAAGATCACTAAAGAATCTAAAATTACAGCTCTACCCCTCATTCAATGTATTTTATCAGATTTTCATACCTATTTTCAATGGGTGTGCTGTATTTTTAACACAAAAACAGGACCAGAATCCCAGTGTTCTTACAATGCATATCTTGCTTTTCTATATTAAACTGACAAAGTCTGATTGATAGCTTTCCCAGTGAGTTCTTTGGGAGGATGAGAAGACATAGAAGGGATGGGAGTGCATTACTGCAGATGTGTACTAAATCCTGCGATGTTTAACAGAACTATGGATTAAAATTTATCATACTGTGCCTCCCATGTCAGGTTTGGGTGGATGGTTGAGCTTGAGTGATATTATCTGCTCCATTAGAAAGCCTCTCATGAACTGAGTGGTAGTTTTAATTAAATCTAGTAGGTTGAGAAAAGTGGCTTGGCAGTTTCAATTGATTTATTGTGTTTGTGACATCTGGGCCTGATATATTATGTTGACTTGCAGAATTGTTTTTGGACGCTCAGCCCATGTATTTTTATTCTGGCTTCCAGGGCTCACAGCCTTTAACTATGCGACATTTTCATTTTACTGTGACTTTAGTATTCTCTTTTATTTTTTTTCTTACTTTGATAAGACAGTAAACAAAGTTATCTTGTTAAAAGTGTGATTTTTTTTGGCAAGCATGGGATTCTGTGCCTTTATGTACATGAACAGAGCTTCTTGCAAGGTAGTATTGGGTTGGTCATTACCATCATTTCACTTACATTTGTAGGAAGAGAAAATGAGATATTTACAGGTTTTTTAAAAACTTAGTCCATAACTTGCCAAACTGTTTGATGTTATTATGACTTTCAAAATTTTAAGTTTGGATTTTAGATCTGAATATGAATACTATGTCATAGGTTTTTTTTCAGTGATATGAAAAGTAGGCACATTCAGCTGGATATTATAGACAAATGTCTCCCAATCCATATTTTATTTCATGAAGTCCATTTTAGAAAGTCTTTACTTGCAACTCCACAAAACATTTAAGAGGAGAGAAGAGTTAAGCTGCAATTTCTGTCAAAGGGAGAGCACAGAGAAATAAGCCAGTCACAGTCAGCCCAAATATTTCACTAGTGTGTAAGTGGTTGCACATCCCAGTTCCTAACACTGTAATGATATACTGGGGGTGGGGGTGCTACAGCTGGGACCACTTAACCCCTACCCAACCAGAGTTCTGGAATAAATCAGAAACAATTTAAGGAAATTAGGTAAGTCTCTCAGACAAATCATCTTCAGGTCAACCTGTGGCTTAGCTCACTTGACCTTCTGCTGCCTCAGTGTTAGAAGCTGGACTATGTTGCTATTCTTTTTAGTGAACCTGTAAGTGGTGTCTGATCCACTTAGGATGACTTCCTATTTTTTATTTTTGTATTCACAATTCTGTCTCAGTAGAATATGTCTTTAATCTTTGTAGATTCCTTTCTGAAATGTGGTTTTAAGGTGAAAATTGGACCTACCTGGCACTATCTGTTGCCTGCAGCAGACTCTGTTGATGACCGTCTGCTGCCTTGTGGTTCTCTGTTGTGTTCAGATCGTTCTACCAGCTCACTGTGGTCTGTGCTGTTATACTAGGTTCACCTTATATATCCAGGTATACATGTTAATACACAGCATGATCCATAATCTTTCCTTCAAAATTCTGAATGTTTTTCCCCTAATTTTTTGTAGGGTTATTGCTTTAAATAGGTGATAAATCTCACCGCACTATATAGATGTAGGTTAATTTAAAAGTTTCTTTAATTTATCATGATTCCTGAGTTGTTTCACATAACTCATGAACTTCCTTGTTTTCTCTGGAGTGTTCAATGGAATTTCCCAAATTAGATGAGATAGGAAATGTGAAAGGAAACTTAATCATAGAAGCACTTACTGAACATCTACCTATATTAAACATAAATAGGCATGGATTTTTGCTTGACATAAAAATCTGCTTAGAAAACATTCCTCCATCTCAAATTCAAGTAAGAAATAGTGCTCAATTTCTTTTTAAAAAAAATTACTGAAACATAATTTCATACCATTAAGTTCATTTAGGTGTAAAAGTTAATGATTTTTAATAGTTTCACAAAATTGTACAGACTTTACCAAAGTCCAAGTTCAAAATGTTTTCACTGTCCCAAAATAGCCTATCTTGAAGAGATAACTAGTTATGATTTCATATATGAAGTATCATCAGTTAATCATGGAATGATATTCTGTATATGTTAGGAAGAAAGCATAAAGAATGTTAGACTTTTAAGAACTACATATTGAAGTACTTTCAATGGTGGCTTGATCAGATGACCTGGTTGACTAGCTCCAGGCAGGGATCATACTGCAATGCCTAATGCCTTTCCTATAGAAAAAAAAGACTTAAAGGATTTTGAAAATAACTCATTCTAAAGTAGACTAAGTTTGTATATGGGTAAAAGTATATCACATATAAGAAAGAACTATTACTTATACACTAAATTCAGATGAGGAAATACTTCCTCATTATTAATCATCATCAAAATGATTTACCTGTGCTATGGGCTCCATATACATTCCTGCAAGATCTTGTACCTACAAGGTAAACACCAAGGTTTCTGGAGCTACTTTACCTAATAGACTGCAAAGAGCTTGCCTTCAAAGTGCACTATAAGAGAACCTAGAAAGAGCATTTTCAGCAGCTGTAAGTGTGCATGTCTTCACTGTTGAAGATAATGATCCCAATGGTGATTTTACAATTGTGAGGGCCATAGCCAGTGGCTGCAGCTACTACTTGGTGTACCAGCAAGAAACTGAGCATTTAAAACTTTGCTCCATGAGCAATGTGTAGATCTAATGACGTATCCCTTTTGAGAAACTAAAGAATTCACTTGAATTATTCAAAATAAAAAGTTGACTGATTGCTTTTACTAAAAGGTAATATGACATCAAAGAAATAACAGTGATCAGGAGAAGAAGTTGGGTTTGTCAGACTCTCCAATCTAGTTTACATGTGTTTTTCAAACAAGTTTCTTTTGATGACTAAGATGATGTTAGATCATAGGAAAAAAATGGATAATTAGGTGTTCAGCCTTGAAGGTTTTATGACCTAACTAAAGAAGTAAAGTGTGCTTTCCTTGGACAGATTATTAGTCAAATTCTTACAGAAGCAAGTACCTTCTTTTAAATAAAGTGGTTGGATACTAACAATATTTAATAAGATAAATTTTGTGGTGAGAACTGATACATGTGATCAGGATAAAAGCTACCATCCTTTTCTTTTCTACTGCCTCATCTTCCACCCAAAGTCCTCATTGCTCCAAGTAGATAGAAAGTTCCTGTCATTGATCTGATTAGTAGTAATCTCTTTTTTTGACTGCACTAATGGTGGATTTTCAGCAGAATAAAAAAAAAGAAGAAACTAAGCAGTTCGATGAGGGTAACAATTGATGCTGCCCCTGAAACAAGTTTCCATTTTCCTAAAAAATGTTCAGTTTGTTATGTAGACTTGTATTTTCTAGCAGAAAGTTCATGATTTTGTATGATTCACAGGAATGCTTATTTATATAGCTCTTCAAGACAAAGTTGCAGCATGCCCTCTCCCCACTTTCATTTAGGATGAGTTATAGGTTGATTAAGTGCTCACCCACTGCTCCATTACTAGTAAAGAAATTGGGTTTCCTCTTAATCTTTTTCAGTTGGAAAAGCAATAGTTTTAAAAGTGACAAATGATGTCTATAGGTCTGTGAATATGATGAACATGTGTTTCAGCATGCATGATTTTTCTACAGCTTTCGGTCTTATGGACCATGGCATTTTATTTGTAAAGTTAGGTTGGTTGGATTTTGCAAAAGATAAAATTTTACCTCCATAGGAGCAAAAGTCTAGCTTGCATAGGAGGGATATCTGCATAAATACTTACTAAAGCCATAAGGGGATGAGAATGGGCTTTATCCTGAGTTTTGTTTCCATTTACCATCTCAGGCTCAGCAGGCAACTATTATAAGGAGGATGTTCTCCTGATGAAAGCCCTTGAGATACTTTTTCCTTTGATGAAGTATTCTTGCAGCTGTCTGACCACACTGTGTTTATCTAGAGTTTTTTGTCTTCAGTTGAAATCCAAAACACTTTAGTGATGCCTCAATGATGGAAGAATTAATCAATACAAATTTACTTGTATCAAAATTCTTCCAACTTAATAGGCTTATCTTAAATCAAAGGGAAAAAGTAAGTGGGCAAACAGCTTAAATTTAGAGATGGTTCAAAATGTATTTACAATTTAAGTGTTACATAATCATTATCGTAATGTAACAACAACTTTAAGATTACTTTTTCTTTTAAAATTTTCACTTCACTTGGAAAACATGAAAAACTTAATTAAATAACCTATCAGGAAATATGGTGAAGTCTTTTTGGAAGGGAGGAATATATCTTTTTAACTAATTGACACTATTTATAGTGTTATAATGAGATTGTTGTCCCTGAAGCCTTGTTCCCTTTAGACTCAGAATTAAATTGACTTGATTCATGACTAGAGAGTTATTTAAGTTTTCTTTTGGATAAATGTATCACATAAGTTTTTGAACAATATATGGTTAACAAGTTAAGGAAAAATTGGTTGGGAGTAGGTCTTAAAAGATACAAGGGAAAGAAAGATTCTTTTTGAGAGGTAATTTGCATGTTTTTTATCATCCTTGAGACATCTGGCATGTTAACTCTCCCGGTCCCATCCTTCCAGGCCATTTTTTTCTTTCTACTCTTACTTTCACTTCCAGTTGTTACTGTACCAGCTTGTCATTTCTCTACTTAAAATCCACCATTCTATTTACTTTCTGGCTCCTAATTCATTTGATGACTGAAGATCACCACAGGAAAACTGGGTGCCTCTTCACTGGGCTCTTGGAGTCATAGA